CCCCAAAACCCCAAAACCCCAAAACCCCATGAATCAAAATACCGTCATTCAGTTAAATAAAATAAAATTTATAATAAAGTAATATCAAACTTTAATGAAATTACAGATCCAAAATAATATTAGCGCAGATCTAACATAAACCATAGCTCATCAACAGCAACACAGTCATAACCCATTTCGCAAGCAAAGATAGATCAATAGCATCAATATTATGCCTAGTAATGGGCTTTAATAGAATGGCACGCTCCCCACTACCATACAACTTTCTTCATTCCTTCAAAGCAACAATAGAATAGCAAATAACAGTATGTAGATATAAGAATGAAGTAAAAATGAGTCGATTTAGGATCTGAATTTAAGCGGTATTCAGAGTTATTAGGATCAGGTCTTGGCTAAATATAACATGCCCTATCATAGAAATGGTACTCTAGACCCTTAAACTTATCAAAGGCATCACACTGAGATAACAACAAGCAGCTTAATACAGCACAACCATAATAACAGTATAGGTGAAGGAAGCATCAATAATTACATTGGAACTGCAATTAGTGGTAGCACTGGTTTAACTGCAGTTGATCTAATTGCTAATTTGAATAATAATATCAATAGGAACAAACAGCAAGTAAAATCTAGTGAAAAGCATTAGAGAAATCAGATATTTTCAAGAGGGACTGGAGGAAGTATAGTGAACTATAGTCGACCACGCACTAATAGTCCATTTCCACATATGAGAGAACGACACTCTAGAAAAGGATTTGTACCAGTAGATGATGGATCAGAAGATATGAATTAAATGAACATTATAAGAGATTAAAATAGCACGATTTAAAACGCTAAAATTTAGTTATTCCCCATTCATGATGAACGATATATTCTGGACAATAACTCAGCTGACAACTTGTCCACTAACCTGCAAGATTCTCTAAATAATAGTCTTGGAGGATATTATAACTCAAATGGCAAACACATTAATCAAAGTGCAATTTTAGATAATAGCCCTTTTGTCAATAACAAAATGAGTTAGTTTGATGCTAATTTTCTCAATGATAACATGAATAAAAGCATGTTCTACAGTTCATAACCTATTCATAATCTGGCTTAACTTAGGACTCAAGATCAATCAGAGAGAGATAAAATAAACATTAACAATCAGAGTTTTATTCTTCAATAGGACAGCAATACTATCAGTCCAGTTGGAAGTCATTCTAAGAAGATTTCAGGAGTAAATATAGATAATACTTAACCAACCATCATTCTATCACCTCATAACATTAAATTTGCTTAAAAAATGATGACGGATGGAACGCAGAGTAGAAACGAGAATGTTCATCACAGTAAAAATTTATCAGGACATGGATAAAATATTTTGATTGAGAATTTGAATTCGAGCTAGAATATTGCTTAGTATATTAGAAATCAAAGATTAGAGTCCAGAGATATTTACCAAGAATCAAGGCAGAGTTTACTTTCTCCATAAAATGACTCATAAGATAATGCTGCTAATTAATAAATAGGTAATCCAATAAGCTCGGCTTCATTAGGAAGAGTCTAATACTAGCAGGAGTAACCTCACTATATACCAGGTAATACACAAGGTTATGCTTCGAGAAATCTGATTATTAGTGATAGGGCTTAAAGAAAACAGCTAGGAACTGCTGGAATTTCATCTAACTATAACCCAGCTGGAGGACTTTACAGGTTTATTGAAAACGAGAGTAATTTAAATTCGCATATTATGTCTCATGATAACAGATTGCCAATGAATCCTCCCAATTTCTAGATATATAATAACATCACTAACATCTATAAAACTGTCTAATCTGAGTAAAAGATAATACAAGAATTGTAGAATAACAGTGATATCATATCAGGAAGTAGTTCTGCTGCAAAGTAACGCTTTATTTTAGAACCTATTAGAGAAAACGCAGCCTCTAATTTGATCTAAAAAAGTAGAAATCAGTTTATCCCTTAAATGCAACAAAAACGTAAAAATAATTAATCTATGCATTAGGGCTAGGATCAATAATAACTAATGCAGCAGTAGATCTATAACATTCTCAACTCAAATAAGAATGAAAGTGGTTCTATTATGCAGAATTTCAGAGTAGAGACGAATAAGGCAAAACCTAAGATTATGAAGCTATAGAAACTGAAAGATATATTTACCACTCCCCAAAAAAGTCAAACTCATTAGAATAAAAGCGTTATTATGAATCCAATACATGGCTGCCTTGGAGTTAATACCACTGTTAATAACTCTAACAACCTAGAAGCTCATATTCAACACTAGTTAATCAAGAATAAGCAAAGATCGCTCTCATCAAATAACGAGGATAGTTACTTTTTTACCTTTCATAATCCAAAGACAAACTTGAGTGGCTAAGATATAAACAGAGAGGATTATTTATAAGAGGAAGATATTAATAAGTAGCAATAAATTACAAGTAGTTTCAACAATATTGTAGCTGGCAATACAAGATCTCTTGGTCAAGGGGTTAAAAAGGGAATGGATAAATCTTATTAGAACTCTTAAATGCCTATCATTTAAGATCAGTCTAGTACCAGTATTGGAACTACAGCTGCTTCGCAGAATTCTTTGGTAAATAGAGCCTCTAATACAAGCAATAAGAAGAAGAAAACCAAAATTCATGACAAGATCACTGTAATGACAAGGAATGGTGGGATTCAGGGTATTCATAATTTGAACACAACAAATAACTAGTAAAGATAGGAATAGGGCTAGTTCCTAAGTAAAATCGAAGAAAGAATAAACAGCAATAGCTTTCACTTGTAAGACAGAGTACTTAAATAATAATATTGATGACGACTAATTGACATACTTCTTTGAATCTCTATATTACTGATAGAGTATTGATAATAAAATAGATTTATATGCAAAAGAGATACTTAGAGATCTTTCTGTAAATATTATACCGTATTTGTTTCAAATTTAATAACGTTAATCATTAATTAAAAACCAACATACTAAATAAATATACAATTAAATTTATTAAGTTGCTTGCTAATAGTGTCTCTCTCACAAAAATTGATAATAAAACAGTCCGAAAATTGCAATTATTCCCAAGGTTGATACTCTTAGATTGTTAGCGTTGAGACAAGTTATCGTACCAGAATAGCCATACTCATCATAGTCTCCTCCATACTGTTTATTTGAACAAAAGTATCCCTTCATTTAAATGTCATCTGATTTGATATCTACGTAAGCACAGCAGTATTCTTTCCCAAACACTGCACATTTAGCATCACTCCCTCTATCGCATTGCCCATACTAAGCATTCGTGAAATCGAAGCATAAATTCAAAATGGCAACTAAAACAACAATGTACTAATTTCTTCTCATTTTTAAAATTACCTCATCATTATAATATTCTTGATAAGAGGGGTTTTGGGGTTTTGGGGTTTTGGGGTTTTGGGGTTTTGGGGTTTTGGG